ATCTCATCCTTTCTCATCTGTATTCATTCATAGATTGGAATAGGAAAACAAACTTTCTTGCTTTTTCAATTCCCAGTTGGTTTCTTAACTTTGAGCTAATCCAAATGAAGAGAAGAGCCTTTCTGCACCTGCTGGCCAAAAGTAATTTAATGGAAGAGCTTTTCTGCCCAACAGAAATTGAAGGTCCTTAAATTTGGGGATAAAATTGCTCCATTGTAAAGACTGAAAACAATATAGATACTTTCTTAATACAGTATATGATGTGATATATTTATAAACTTTGAGTGGACCTCATAAATTAAAGACGTTTTCTTCTTGATGCTTTTTTAGTTTATATAAAGAAATGTCCACAATTCATTCAGATTTTAGGATGAGCTCATCGATGAAGCATATTTATATTTATTTAAATTGTAATAATAAATTTAGGTCTTAACAAACTTTAAATTTCCTTTTAAGCACAATTTAAAAAAAATTACATAAAAATCTGATATTTGATTTTAAATACAAAAAATCAGTTTATCCATCCTGGTTGGAGTGAGAAGTGTGTTCATTGTGTGAGCTGTGTGCTTGGGTGGCAAGGCATATGACTTGAGATTGATGTAGGTGTGAATGTTATCTTAACTGGTGATTTTCTAGATTTTTAGTGATTCAATTGATTGAAATACAATTAGGCGGTCTTAACTGTAAATTCATACTTTTTTGTGGGGGAATGTTTATAATGCCTTTTGTGGTTAACTAGTAAGAATTCTCAACAATGATTGGCAGGCCCATTGTGTGTCTCTGGAGTATGCAAGGTAATAAGCAAACATGAAAAAAACCAAGATAAGGCATAAAATGTCAGTCATTTTATTTTTACAAGTGTAGCTGGCTATAGTATTAATTAGAATAATAATTACAGTAGTGATAATAGGAAACAATACTATAATGTTCTGTTTAATTTGTTTAGTTGGAAAGAGACCACTCATCATTAGAATTATCAGGTATATGTATTCATTATGTGAGAATTAGCAAGGCTTAATGTAGAACAAGCCCAACTTTAGAATACTCAAATTGTTCACTCATTGTTACAGAAGTATTCCAAAGTCTTGGATTAGTTTTCCTCAATTATTTCAAATCTGATGTCTGTTTCTGGCATTCTGTAATGACTACTTTTATCTTCAGCCAAAGGATATGTTGAAGATATTTTTTATTTTTCTTAGTTTGTGTAAAGCGAAGTCTGCTTTATAGCAGGTGGATTGAATGGAATAAAGGAGTTCTCTTACTTGAGATTACAAATTACACTTGTTTAAAAAATAGTATTATATGCTGTTGGGGATTTAAGTCTGTTTTCACTTGGGTCTTCCAATCATTCCAAACTCCAAGTAAATTAGTGAGAGATTACAGGGAAGAGAGAGTTTTCAAAGTCTACTGAGTCAATACCTATTGCACCGGATGTTGAAAACTTTAAATACAAACTCTTCCTTTCCCATACAATATTGTCTTTCCTCTGTTCTCCTCCTTAATATTCTGCTTCTTATTTATGGCAAAACTTTTCAGTCTAATATTGTTTTGAGTGTTAAAAATATTATGATAAATTAATGACCAACTGAACAATGAGTTTACCAACTTTCTTTTAATATTACTAGCAGAAATTGTACAGAATACATTGCTATCACAAATCTTTTAAGTTGCCTTTGTTGTCAAAATTGTCTTTATAGTTCAGTGCCACCTTTTTTTTTTTTCACCCCACCCCAATTGGGAGTGTATATGGGAGTTCCATGAAAGTATTGAAACATCAGGAAATATGAGATTATATACATTTTTTTCTTTAAGAAATGGTCTCTCCTTCTTAATATTTTAATTTATAACTGTATTCTTAGTTTTACATGATATTATGAAAGTACAAAGTATTACATGAATCCCACATTCTGTCTTGCTACAAAGATGCTAAATTTACTGGCAGAGTTACTTGAGAAGATTAGTGGTCATTTTTAAAAAATCTCTTTTGTATTTCAAAGGGTTGTTTGTGGGTACGATAGGGACACAATCAAGTCTACAACTAGTAATAAACATCTGTGCCAGTTAGCATGTAAGTGGTACACAACTAAATTTGATTTGTATTTAAATGTCTGCAAAACTGCAGTGGAAATAAAATATTTCAGTGGGTTTATTTGTAATTTGTGGTCCTGGGAATTCTACTGTTGCAGATTTTGGCCAAGAGTGATGGATAGTATTGCATCTACTATAAACAAGCCCAAATTGAGCAAAATGATTCTAACTATATTTCTCCACATTGTAAAAGAGAACTAATAGTTTTCTATTTCCCTTGCTTCTTAAAGAATAACATACTCTGGAAAGAGTAGAAGATAGACATTTCCTTGAAAGAGCCAGCAAGAATATTCGATGGAAAAACTTCCATTCACATTACTTTATTATGATTTTAAACTCCTATTGAACTCCAGTATGGACAAAGAGGAAATACCTGATACTGAGTGGGAACCCAGTTTGATTATATTTGCTTTGACTTTGCAATCACATTAGTCCATAAATAAATGAAAGCAGCATTCCCAGTAAAAAAGGAACTAAGTTTTTTTTTTAAACATTTCTCCTATGAAATATAGTTACAAGTGACCACAGTAATAGACAGTGTTTTCCTATAACCTTATATATTTTTAAATGTTTGTCATTTTGTATTCTGTGTTGTATTGTTGAAACCCTCGCTGTATCTTGAATAGCCAAGATAAAGACTTAAATACAGTACTTTGTAACAGTATTTAACAAAAAAGAAAGATGATGTAGAAGGAGAGGGTTATATTGGAGAGAGAAGGCTGTGCAGCAGTCAGGATTCTGGGATGGTGAAGGAATCAATGTTTATAAGTGCCATGGGAAGCCTTTCAACTTCATTCTACTGGATGATGAGGCAGGAACAGGAAGAGAAGGTCTGCTTGGACCTAATTTTAAAGCCCAACCCAAGCTCAAGAGTGAGTCACTTTCATACCTGACCCAAACCTGAAGCTTGTAGGTGAGTTGCAAGGGTCTATCCTCTGGCCTGGATTCTTTTCTGTGCCTCTCACTCCAGACTCCCTATTTGCATAAAGCCCATCTGCCTATTATAGCCTCTTTCCCCATGCACATACCTTCTTTACCCTAGGCCCAACACCCCTTGTTTCCCCCTGTCCCTTGCATTCCCATTCTTTCTCTCTCTGAACTTCTCCCTCACTGTCTTCCTTGTTGCCTTCAACAATAGAAAGCAGCACCGTGGGGAGAACTGGTGCTCAGTTTTGCTGCACTCTTGCCTCAGCTACTCCAGTGCACAGTGAAGCCTAGGCAGCCATGCCTTGATGCCCAAGGTAGTACTTTAAGGAGCAATGACAATTAGGGCCAAAATTATTTATTAAGGAGAATTCTTGAGTCCAGTCTTCTCTCATCACTGACTCATCAGACCAATAGAATGGTAGCATGTCAGTTAGCTGCAGAGGAAGGGTGGTGATTGGTTGTTATTTTTGAAGGCAGGTTCCCCAATTATGAGTGTCCTGACCTGTCATCCTCTATAGTCTAAGTGCAAAATTCAATTCAGCCATAACTATGGAGCTGCAACCCGTGCTTCAGTTGCCAGATAAGCTATGAACCCATTTTTCATTTTGCATATCATATTGATGAATATGCCGATCAGATTATAAATAAAAGCCATTCTTTAAGAGTTCCTTTCAAATAAAAAATTATTTGAGTTACTCAGTGGAAAAAAATATCTTAATACAAATGTTTTGTTCAAAGTGCTTATACTTCTCACTTGTGTGGAGAATCTTCAAATTACTCATGTAAAATTGTGCTTCATATGAAGTATTTAATAGAGTAGTATTAAAACACTGCAGAACAAAACTTCCCTGATTGTGGATACTAGAAAATGAATCTTCACATAGATTGTAATTTTTCCTTGAAATAGTTGACAAAGAAGGATTTACGTTAGTATTTTCTTGAAACACACTTTTTTACCTGTCTGCTTTTACAAACCTTTTATTGATTTTTGTTTCATAGACTATCAGGGTTGGAAGGGACCTTAGGAGGTCATCTAGTCCAACCCCCTGCTCAAAGCAGGACCAATCCCCAGACAGATTTTTGCCCCAAATCCCTAAAGGGCCCCCTCAAGGATTGAACCCACAACTGTGGGTTTAACAGGCTAATGCTCAAACCACTGAGCTATCCCTGTTGCTAACAGCTAACACTGTTTTTTCAAGTTTTCCTCTTGCTTATGCAATTACAGTGCAGGTTTCAATATACAAAATGACAAAATAATTGAATATACAAGGCTTTAGGAGAACATTTACTACAGTGATGGCTTTATTTTAAAATCTCCTGAATAAAAGTATTTCATTGTAAGTTTTGAAAGGGCACTTTGCTTTATATCTGTGTACACATAAAAACATTAAACAATTTTAATAAAGTTGTACAGTGTTAAGTCCACTAGAAGATAATGAAACAATCTGCAAAATACAAAATAACTAACAAATTACAACTGCCCAATTAGGACTCTGTCCAGAATATTGTACCTTTTTAGTAGGTTATACAAGTACATATTCAAAATAGGTCTTGGCAGACGGTGGACCTTTGATAGGCAGAGAATATATTCCTATGAAGACTTTCGTTTTGTCACATGGATTTTGCAGTGCCTAATTAGCTATTGATGATTTTCTAGTGTTCTACATTAGGAAAGGGGCTGTGCAAATTAGAAGCAATGGAAACTTCTGTATCTAAAATTATCTATGCAATTTATAACTGATGAATGCTATCTCAATTTTTTTGCATTTTCAGTATTTGATTTAATTAGTGACCTTATGTCTTTTCATTATCTACTAAAAAGTTATGTATGCCTCTGCTAGCTTAGAAAATGAAGAAAAACCCTGTCTATTGGCTAAAATCATACTGAAGTTCAAAATCAAAAATTTGCAGTGAATATTTTATAAAAGGGTTGCTAAATTTTATTAACTTACCTGTTTGTTAAAGCCTATTATTGTTGTTTACAGAAATTACTTTGCAACTGGTTTTCGTATCAGTCGTTGATTAATCTTCATGTCCAGCATTATTTGATCCTGATTTCTGAATCATGGGACGGACAGGTAAGACTCATGCTGATTATACATGCGAGTGTTCTGATTTTTGTTGCATAAAAATATAAAGATAAATTGGTTTAATTTTTGTTTGCCATGTGACTATATGCATGTTATTGTATCAAAAGACTAAGAGTGAACTGGCCTGAGATGACTGATAGCAATTAATGATTGATACACTGAAAACTGATATTTTTGGCCTGTCTGACAAATGGCCTCTGGGTTTTCTTTTTTTGCCTTCTGGAAGGGACCAGGGATCACTTTAAGATCAGATACTTTGTGAATAATCAGGGATAGAAATTAATTGGATGCCTCAATTCCAGCTTTCAAATGGTGTAATCTCATTTCTAGGAGTTAATGAGAATATGTGCTGCTAAACTCATTCTGGAATTGAAGGAAGCTGGTAATTGGAAAAACTAGATCTTAAAGCAAGGATAAGATCATCAACATTTAATAACTCCTCTGGCAGTTACAGCCAAAACTCACATCAGTTGGTGGAAGAGTGAAGGCTCTTTGAGGTCTTTGGCACAAATTGGCGGGAGCTCTACAAATGGGCAAACAGAGTATGTTGGCTCTGTTCCACTGGCTTGTATGAAAGTGTGGTGTAGTTATGGCATTACCCCCTCCATGTGTTCATTGTGTCTCTCAGCTGTAGATGCTCTTGGTCATGTGCACCAGGAGCACATTGAGATTCTGGCTGATCCCTCTGCGGGTGTCCGTAAGGGGCAGAGGGTTTTTTTCACTTATTCCAGATTATGGGTAAAATGTTAACAGTGCCTTTGCTTAAGGTTGCCTCACATTTTCCATTAGAAGACCCTGTTTTCTGTGTTTTAAAACTTTTGAATTCTTTAACTGTCCGGGTTCAAATTTTCCAAGCTGAAGGCTTTTTGCAAGTTTCAACAAAACCAGTGTAAGCATTTCCCAGAATGAATTTTGAGGAAAAATGGGTTATTAGCCATTTCATTGAGAAGTGCCTCTGTGTTTTGGATGAGGAATTCAAAATTTGGCAAGGGGGTCACCTTGTTTTTTTCTATCCTGTTGAAAATGTACCCAAATTTGGCCGAGTTATAAGCTGCTTTTATAAATAAATCAATCAGTTTGTACATATTCAGTCGAGGTTTGTTGGAGACCGTCGGCTAAAGTTTCAAAAGATTCCATCTCACTGAGCGTGCTGTGTCCCTACGTGCTGACCAGACTGTACATGTATCATTCTCCAGAGTGACTGAAAATGCTTCATCCCCAGGCTGCAGGGGCTGAGCAGGACTTCCACTGCAGTTGTTCTTCCCAGTACCTGGGGGCTGATGTGATATGTGGCACTGGCATGGACAGAAAGGAGACTAGTCTTTTGCTCACAGTATTCCTGCTGCTGGTGCCCAGCAGCATGGAGAAGACTGTGCCTGACTGAATGTGAGGTTTTTGGTTTAAGCCAAGTTGGTTTAGCACATCATAAGTGTAGGGTCATACTTGAAAGCTACCTTTGGATAAAATAAAAGTTATAAGGGAGTGATTGAAGCTGTGCCACCTTAAAAAATTATGCAGTATTATACAGACCTTTCCTGATGAAGAACATTTTCATATGAAAAGGTAACTAGTGGCTTGCTGGGAGTATAGGAAATCATAAATAAACCACAAAGAATATTTTTGAAAGATGGAAAACCATTTAAAATTCAAACTAGCCTCCAACTGTGATATCTGAAGAGCATGTCCCAATTAAAATTCTCCATTAATGGAATATTACTTTATTTTGTTAGCCTGTTGCAAATGTTTTGTAGCTACTGCAATATTTTTCATTTAAAAAAGGCAACACTTTCATAAGATACAGTAAATCAGTACCCGATTAAACTACTAATAAATCCTATTAAAACTAATTTATGATGAGAAAATTGAAAAATATTTATAGTGGAGATTGTCTTGCTGTCACCTTATGAGTGTCATATGCTTTGAAAATAAACATAACTCCAGAACATTAAATCTATAGACAGTACACTAAAGTACCCATAACTACTGCTTTCATAAAGATTAACACTTCAATATTGGTCAATCTTTAAACACTTAGAAATGATCTAAATTTACAGTAAATGTTGAATATTTGATGTTCAGGAAACAGTCTGAGCCCTAACTGATTTTTCATACTCTTTTTACAATCTTCCCATTCAAATCCACTTGATTGTTCCACATGATAATCAAGAGCCTGCACTATTTGTTTAGAGCTGACACCTGAAGAAAGAAAAACCTTATCTTTGCTCCCTGGACGTCAGATATGGCTGCCAGAGCCCACTTTGCAGAACACCAAATGCAAGAAAAAAATTAGCTTGTGGAGTCATAAGGATGAAGTACTGTTATAGCACTGGTCTAGGACTCAGGAGATCAAGTTTCTCAGTTCAGCCACCAGAATAATGTAGCTAGAGTCGACGTAGCAAAGGTTGCCTTACTGCAGTGTCTACACCGCACTAGGTCAATGGGAGAAACTCTCCCATCGACTTACCTTACACTTCTCGTTCCGGTGGAGTAGCGAAGTCGACGGGAGAGCAATCTGCGGTCGATTTTAGTATGTCTTCAGTAGATTGACCCCTGGTGCATCGATCGCTGCATCATTGATCCCCGGTAAGCGTAGACATACCGTAAATCTCCTTTGCTGCGATTAAGTCCATGAGTTCTTTTCGTACCTTCAGTGGACATAAAGAACAATTGATCACCATCCTCTTTGTAACAGCCCTTAACATATTTGAAGACTGTTATCAGGTCATTCATCCCCCTCGCCATCTTTTCTCAAGACTAAACATGCCCTTTTTTTAACTTTTCCTCATACATTTGGTTTTTCTAACCCTTTTATCATTTTTGTTGCTCTCCTCTAGACTCTTCACTTTATCTACATCTTTCTTAAAACGTGGTGCCCAAAATTGGACATAATACTCCAGCTGAGGGTTCATCAGGGCTAAATAGATTGGAACAATTACTTCCTATATCCTACATACAACATTCCTATTAATATATCCCAGAATGTCATTTGTCTTTTTCACAATAGCATCACATTGATGGCTCGTTCAATTTGTTATCCACTATTACCCCCAGATCTACGTTAATTTCTTGCTTTGTTTGTATGAGATATGGGATTTTAAAATTGTCCTGTCTTTATTACTCTAAACTATATAAAATATTTCTATTGTGTCCACTTACCTGGCACTTTCCATTTCCCACATCGGCTGAACAAAGACACACCCTCTTTTATACACTGATACAAACAAGTTACGTATTGCCCCTCTGACATGATGAGTTATCACCCTTTACTTTATACATGTTGGTTCGATCAAAACATCTCTCACTTTGTCAGGGGTCAATATTTCCTTGTATCCTCTTCGGGGAGTGTGTTTACATCATAAGCTTGTATTGGGGTGTTCTGATACTACCCTTCTGGAATGTGTTTACATGAATACAGTGTACTTAATGCCTAGGGGTGCTTGTGTTTTTGCAACGCCAGCCCTGTTTTTGCCAATTTCATGTATTGGACAGTGAACCTGCAAGCAGGCATCTGCTTTGTAACAGGGCAGGGCCTGACTTTAGTTCGGGCCTTAGGCCTTGCAGTAGGCCCTTATATCAGGCCTCAGGTCTTAAGCTGTCTCTTTCTACTACACTGAAAACTTGGCTTCTATTGGACATGTATAATCATTTGTGGGTATCTAAATCTTGTGTATAAATCACATATCAACTTGACCTGTTGCTCTCACAAGGCAAATTAAGGATCTATCAGGTGATGTGTATACATTAATATTATTTGTCTGGAACGGTGGGTATTTCCATATATTATACATATGTAATTAATTATACGTGCCTAACTTTGGCAATCTGGAACAAAGTATTTAAAACCTCACAACACCCTTATGAGCAAGCATATCTCCAGCTCCCTGGATAGGGAAATGAGGTACAGAAAGGCTGTTGCTTGTCAAGGCTGCACAGTGGGACTTGCTGGAAATGAAACCCAGAACTCCTGATCGCAAATCCCATGCGATAAACGCTAGACCATGCACCCTTATTTGAAATGAGTAGTACCAAAGATTAACTTTAATTTTCAAAGCATTTTACAAAAATTAAGCAATCCTTTGAACACAAAATTTTCATCCCTGATTATGGCCAAATTCTGTGAAACATTGCTTTTTTTAATGTAGTGTTGCAATTTGGATTTTCTGTGTGTGTGTGTGTGTGTGTGTGTGTATTTTGAGTGTAATATAAAAGTATATTGAGAAGAGAGTGGCTAAAACCCAGAAAAGGCATACTTATTTATAATCAGGAAACAAAGACTATGTTCAGTGACAGTTAAGGTTGCATTAGGACACACCTAGGCACTCAAAACCTTAAAATCAGGGAAATAAGATCAAGGGAAAAACTCCTGTTTTTTTCCACCTTCTTATTACTTAGTGTTCTTAGTATCTAGAACTCCATATGATTTTCACTTCTGTGTCCAACAGATACCAAAAAGCTAGGGTTACCATATCTCATAAATAAAAAAAGAGGACCCTCCACGGGCCCTGGCCCTGCCCATTTCCCCACCCCACAGCCCCGCCCCAACTCCGCCCCTTCCCCGCCCTCTCCTCCCTCCCACTCCCAGCCAGGGGGAAAGGGCTGCCCCAGCGCTACCGGCTTCGGGCAGCCCCCGTGCCTCCAGACCCTGCGCCGCCGGAGCCCGGGAGGGGAAGTGCCCGGCTGGGGGCGCAGGGTCTGGAGGCACGGGGGCTGCCCGAAGCCGGTAGCGCTGGGGCAGCCCTTTCCCCCTGGCTGGGAGGGGGGGGGAGGGGGGGGCGGGGGAGGGGGGGAGGGGGGGGC